TTTTTAAAAAATGTAAAAGAAAGAATCAATAAAACCTCAACCTTATTTCGGACAGAAAAGCAGTATCCAGGTATCATTTAATTGACCACAAGTGTGAAAACATCCAGGTAGGCTGTTTTTATGCTTTTGTACTGGTCATCACTAATATAGAACTGTTTAGGACAAAATAATAAATACAAATAACACCTAACCAATATTGTTAAGACATTTAGACTGACTGCAGATACTGGGACTACTCCTTAGACCAAATATTCCTGTTGTTGCTCTTATTTGGATTCTTGTTCTTACAAGTCTTTGCTCAAAATATAGCATAAAAGGAGAAGTTTATGGGTGTTTTTTGGTTTGTTTTCTAAAATCTAGTTCTCCATATGCTATACTTGAAGAGCTGAATTGCTCTCTACACCACCAAAAAGATCCTCTAAAAACTTCTTGCCAGTCTCCAAGATCATAAATATCCCAGTTCACCCTGGCTGTAGTAGAGCACCAAAGTAAGAGGCACAGATGCATTAGCTGGCACTCGTCCACCTCCCAGCTGTGAGCACTGATGCAGTGGGCGATCACCACTCTGCACTGCAAGTTACATTAGGAAACACGTTAGTGCTCCTTCACGGGCCACGTGATGCATGAAACGCACTCTGCAGCAGAAAGGAACCTCCCGAGATAACCGATACCGCGCAGTTGCTGAATACTGATCATTTCTTAGCTTCACCGGTAATATACAAAGCAATACTAGAAAAGAATGATACTTTCTCACAGGGCCAAAAAAATCTTGCCACAAAAATAGTAAGGCAGCTCCGGGATGGAGCAAATACCTGCAGGGAACTTGCCAACTGGTGCAGCGTGCTGCAGGAACAGCAGCCTGCTGCCCAGAACCACGCAGCTACCTAGCACAATGTGTATACAAAGACCAAATGCATATCCTATAGCTTCAACTAAAATAAGCATGACTCATGAGGAAGAAAAAAAAAAAAAAGCTTTTGTAAGCTACTTGTGTTCTAAACATAGCATTTGCTTTTATCTTTGGAATGCTGTATTTTGATTACAAGACTTAATAATCTAGACAATGTCCTTTTAATAAGAAGTATTTATGCTGCACTGCAATGCTGAATTAAACAACAAGCACGACACACTACATCCCAAATTTCTATTTTTTTATAATTTAAAAAGCTTTACTTTCCAAATCTACACTATATCCCTCCCTGAAAGACCACTGAGTACTCAGGACACTCTGTGCCCACCCAGACTCCTTGCCAAGCCTGCAGAGAACAGAACTGTGGCAGCATGCCCAGGCTTTGTAAATGTTTTCAGATTCCTTCTGTTACGTGCTAGGATTTGCTAATGGGAGACGCATCAAAATGTTTGAGGGCCATTCCATCAGATGCCTTTTTTTTTTTTTTTTAATTAAATACCAGGCACTGTTAACCAATTGTTCATCTGCCTGGTGTTTCTTTCCTGTCATTCAGAGTTTACAAGATCCTAGTCACACACACACCCCTTTTTATGAGAGGCCACTTTAATTAGGCTTTGTTCCTTTTTTCATACCAACAGTCATCTCGCTTTTTGATCCCCACATCATTGCAGGGAGTTTTGCTGTGGCTAGCACTGGTGAATAAATGATGCATAACATTCTCACTTTCACATATACTGAGCAGGGTAACAAAATACATTGTCCATATACATACACACGGAGATACAAGGTCTACTTCACAAGTACTATTGGAACTGCCTAAAATTATGAGAACTGAAATAATGAGAGAAAAGGATCATGAGTTATTCTAATATCTCTACTCCTCTAGAAATGCAAACCAAGCTTTATATACTGTTAAGCAGCTTCCATTAGAATTTCAAGTAGACATGGATAACAGCATTTCTCTGCATTTTGAACAATTTGTATTAAAAATCTAACATCTAATCTAAACATCTAATGAAGCAATATAAAAGCATATACAATTTACAAACTCTTAGTCTAGAGAACACTGGATTGTGAAATGACACTTTAAAGCCCGGTGCCATCTCCGCTTGTTTTCCATGTTCTCAAACAGGAAGGGCTGAGGGGAAGCCAGTACACTGGTAGGTTTGTTCTTGCACTTGCAAACTGAGAACAATATATACATACAGTAGTGCAGAAGGAGATTGTAGCTAATAAACATCCAATGCTCATTAAAGTGTGTGTGTGTGTGTTGCTTTATATGTTTATGCATCTTTATAGGTTTGCAAAACATATTGCAAAACTTTGAAAACATATTTACTTACAAATCGCAGAGAACACGAACACAGATGAGTTACTGAAAAAAATGCCACACATACTGGCATATTCTGCAAAGTTCCCAAATACTTCCACCCCTCCTCTCCCATTTTTTTTTGGGAGATTACCTGATCATCAGCAATTGCTTTAGCAAAGCGAGCACAATCTAACTGTAGATAAATATCAGTCAGTTGGTCCAACAGCTTCTTTGGTTCAAACCCATATTTCTCAGGGTTTTCAACTTTCAGGTCACGGCACTTGGGGCCGCACAGTTGCTGTAGATTGAAGTTCAGCATAGCAGCTAATCGTGGTCCAAGTTCCTACGAGGCCAAAGTAAAATACATAGCATGAAGACTATGTATGATATATGATAATGATAAATAACATTATCATTACAACAGCATACATCAAGATCAAGAATTATGAACCAATTGTTATTTTCTGGGCTTCGAGTAAATGTCTTTATGTATGCTTGTTAATAAAGATAATGGGAATTTTCTCTTTAAAAGTGAGACCCCATTAGAGTGAGCCAGATAACTGCACTTCCTGTCAAATAACTTCATTAATAATCAAGATTTCAAGCACTTGGACCTGCAGAAAAGGGAAAAATTGAGACAAAGGGCTACCACACATTCTCTGGGTTATTATCCAGTAAAAGAGAGTTAGTATCTGCCTAATTTCTAGTTTCTCTAAGCCACATCTGAGCAGGACTTACAGGTCTGAGGAAAGGCTTTTGAACCTGCTTGGTAAGGATATGGAACATATCAACAGTTTCCGTTGCCAGGGCAAGATATGAACGAGACACACGCTCATCCTGCGCGAGCTGCGACTGCCGAGCCTGCTGCTGATCCTAGAAAACAAGTATTCAACGGTTACAAGTTACATCCGTAGAATTTCCTACCTCAGTGTCAATCACAAATTGAACTACCTAACGCTAGCATGATTTGGGCAGACAAAAGAACAGACTGCAGACCAAATCCAGATGTGATACATTTTAAAACTTAAGGTGCAATTCCCTTTTACTACCTATTGCTAATGAATACACTGCACTAAATACATGAAATGCTGCAACAGTCCAATTTGACATTTACAAACAGTATTGCAAGACTCCACATGTAGTGAGTCTGCTTACATATTGGAATGCTCCTTGCAAACTGCAAAACTGGGTTATGTTTCCTTTCCATTCAAATGCCAATACTGCACAAACAAGAGCCAAGAATCAAGCAAGGTTTGAATTTATCCATCAGCATGAGCAAACAGTGCTTCCTACTGGAGCAATCTGTAGATCAAGTACCAGCTCATTTTGACAGTACATCAGTGGCTTTACTTTGCTAGTAGGTATAAGCAGGAACAAAGACTTCAAGAGAGCAAATCAGAAGAAATTTAACAAACAAGTTCTTTCTTTTATAACTTTTTGTTTCTTTTTTTTTTTTAAATAAGCTTCAAATAGAAACATCTGGCATCAATGGGTCAACACACACAACTGTCATTTAATCAGGCTACGTCCTGAGGTATAATTCTTTAACTGGCTATAGCAAATCCACAGAGGATCAATGAACTAACAAAAGAAGTTTCATTATATTGAAGTCAACCCAACTGGCAAGCATCTTCCAGAATCTCCTTCAAGAAGGTTAAAGTCTTAATCCCTCATTTTAAAATTCAAAGTGCACAGTAATTTAAAACTTTTTACTATTTCCATTTCTCACATCACTCTTTGCCAGCCACAAATAACTATGTAGAATATTTTATTGCAGAATGACATCCAGAGTGATCATGGGCATATTGATAGCAAGAAATAGCTTTGAGAACTGCTTCTTGTGAGCAGCTTTTTTGTACTGCCCCTTATCCAAAAGCTAAAATAATAATAATAATAAAATCTGTTTTTTTTTTAATGTAAAAATGTTAGAAAGTAGTAAAGGGCACTTTGAAAAACAGTTTTGTTCACCCTGGGCAGCAGGTCCCATTGCTCTTTATTTTTCATTTCCTCTTGCACTTCATGGATACGTTTTAGGGACTCCAGACTCTCATCCAGCAAGAAAGTTGTATCATTTATCAGCATGTTGATGTAGCGAACAAACTGCTTCCCAGAGCTGAAAGCATTAAAACACAATTATCACTGTAGACGGGTGTGCTGAGCAGACTGCAACCCCAGTAACACTCCTGCACTGTACAAGCCCACTCCCCAAGCCAAATTCATGGGTCTCCAGAGTGTTTAAACACCTGAGGTGCCCTGTCAGGAGCTGTTATTCAAACTCAATGAAAAGCAGCATCACCCATTCGTAATGGCAGTGACTGCTCTCCTCAGCAGTTTGCATGACAGGAAGCATGTGTACATGACTCCACACAATTCCTTACTCACTTGAACTCTTCCATGAAGGTACCATGGTGAGCTATATTCTGCCAAAGGCTTTTGAAAATGGTGCTGATGTGGTAGCGAATTGTAAACTTGTCATAGAATTCACTAGTGGCTCCAGTATGTTCAACATCTGAAAAAGAGATCCCAGAACTGAAATCAGTCTTTTTCCCATCAATTTTCACTGGTAACACACGACATTTCTTTCTCATCTCCAACGCAATGAGCTTCAAGCACCAAGTTTGAGGCTCAATTTCATCTTGGAAAGATGAAATTCAATTCACATTCAGAAATCTTCATCCTAATACCCATGTAAAGAACTATTGATTTTCTAATTCAGAACCAACCTCTGTTCTGAAGAAAAACAAGCTTCAAGAAACATACTTTCTGCTGTCAACTCCACTGTGCTCTTTGCCCCACAGTCCAAGATTTTAATAATAGGAAAACTGAGGAAACTCTGCAGCAAAATAGCTGCTTTTCAGCATGCAAAACCCTTTATAATATCTAAATCTACATAGCTAGCAAAGCCATATTAAGAAAGTTTAAATTCTCAGTTCTCTTACAATATAAGCAAAACCTTTCTAAATGAGGAATCTAAATACCACAAACAATGCTCAAATAAAGCTACGATGCCAGAGCTGTGTGAATGCACAATACATTGCGGATGGACTAGGATTCTTCTCCAGGCTCCATGCAACCCAGTTTTCCCCTTATGCTTGAGTAACAAAGCCTTTTCTTTACAAGACCTGATATCTTTGTTGGGATAAAGGTCTGATACAACCTATTGGTTAATAAAATTCATAGTCCACTGAATCTCTCAGAACTACACAGAATGCCCTTACCTGTGTAAAATTTCATCAAGGAGGGGACTAGCAATTTGGTGGAGAGAGGATGATTCTCAATCATCTCGAAGAACTTCTGTGTTCGGGGCTGAACAGCTGGATTTGTCATGAACATCACTTCCACCAGCTTGGCTACCAGATAAGGGTTTCGGATGTAGTTCTGGTTGCACAGCATCACAACAAGGAACATGACGATGTCCTGAGTACAGGGCTCATAAAGCACCTGAGGAGCATATCTGAAAAAAAGGGGAGGTGAGGAAAAAGAAACAGTCTCCCCAATTCAATATCACCTAGAGAAAATTCATGATAACTCACGCAAGTTCAGACCAGTTGCTAGCATTAGGAAAAGTTCAAATCATTTTAATATCATTTCCTACCTTTCTCTACAGAAACTAGATTCTTACACTAGGAGTTCTTGCCAGCTGGCAACTGCATTTTGGTCCTGATTCCAAACCTTCTCCTTTGAAGCATGATAATATTCTTCTGTTGCATGTAAAGGCAAATTTGCTATCAAATGCCCCTTTAATGGCATCTCAGGAAGAAAAAGGCAACCACTCATCTCCATGACAGGCTGTAGTGAGGTTTGGATCTGAAGGATTGTTTTCACAAAGAAAGGGACCCACTTTAGGACTCTAGGAATACATCCTGATAGTATGTGTGTCCATCTAAAATGTTAATAGAGTATAAATGCAATTTACACCAACGGATGTATAATTAAATGGAAGTTTCTAATTCTCGCTAAGCCATAGCTTCTTCTTAATATTGGTCTAGTAATGACTAAAATATCATGAGATTTACAAGGTCTGAGCAAACTCCAAACCATAAAGAAAATTCTTAGGGGTAGGGAGGGGAGGAGGGGGTGGACCTTTCTTAAAGAACAGGAAGTATAACAATATCATAAATAAATTTAGGTTAAAAAAGGACCCATGGAGGTCATGTAGGTACTAGATCTGCATCAGTGCCAGCTGACACAACCTTAAACTGTTGGTAAAACAGCACTAGAATAACAACTGCAGACTAGCTAGCATGTTAATCTCACACCCTGCATTTATTTGTGTGCACACCACCTGCTTCAGGGGTAAAGAGTAGAACAAAATTTCTTCAGAAATAACTTTACTTACTGTACAATAAAAAACAAAAATTCAGCAACATCTTCTACATAAAACTCTGGCAACGCTGCAAATACCTTCGGAACGTCAGGAGCTAAAGGCAGTTTTATGCTGTTGAATAAAGGAGACACCACAACAAAGCAGGCAGTGAAATATCATGATTAAGCAGAAAACGTCACATTCTCCTACAGAAAGGCTCCAGCAGGAACCCTCTAACAACATTCTGATATTGAATTTTTAGAAGTCTTTTTTTTTTGACTTTTAAAGAAGCCCATGTCAGTGCTTCAAACCTACTACACATAGCTGAGGGTCTTCTCCCCCCTCCACAACTGCTACTGAGCCTGTAAATAAGACACCCAATAAGACATTCTGTGTACGAATGTATGTCACTAACATAAATAATTAAAGAAACAATTACACAAGAATGCAGTTGCTGAGCAAGCTAATTAAAATTCTAGAACTACTAAATTCGGTAAACAATCCACAGTGATCTGAAATACCTTTGCTACAATTTACACAGACAATTCTGGCACTCACTTGGGATAGGCAGGGTCTAGAATGCGAAGCATCAGCTGAATCACCATGCCATAGAAATTCAGACATCTCCTAAGAAAGTTTTCATCCAGCAAACCAGCATCTGCACAAGCCTTGCACCTCACCAGTTTCTGCAGAGGAGGGATACAACGGCTAATGCAGACAAGGCACAACATAATATGAAGAGCAAACCTATCTAAGTGAATCAGTGTATTAATGAACATTTCTTAATGGTTCTAAAGGTAAATAGCCCTTTCTTAAACTACGCTGTTATTTGAAGAAAGAGCATGAAGAAAAAGGCACATGTAATCAAGAGTTGCAAGGACAGGGCCTTTTATTAGGTTTTTTTTTTAAAAAAAGGAAAGAAATAGAGGTATCAAAGCCTGAAAATGCACAATTAAAGTCATCTTGATGATACAGCACAAGAAAATTCTGTCAGGTTATCCTAGGAAAGCCTAAGTAGGACACAGGTTCAAAACAAAGGACCCTGTGGCACTCATCTTTACACGAACTCTACATTAAAGATTCAAGAGTTCTATCCCTCGCAGTCCAGGCATGGACGATGCACACAAATACCCCTGAGCAATCACAGGTCATTTGCTCTTCTGTCTCTCTCAAAAAAAGCACCACTTTCAAGAAATATCCGTGGGAAGTTGCATTTACACTTCAATATTCAAAATAGTTTAACAAAGACATTGAGTTGTAGGCATTTAGTTGTGATCCAAATCACTTACTTTAAGTTGTGTCTTGCAACGTTTGAGCATCTCTCGATGCCTTGTAGCGAGAGGAGAATCCTTCCACTGACTTTCATTGTTTTTCAGGTCTTCAACAGTTCTGAAAACCATATACAATAACTGGTTATCACAACAAAAGGGAAATATGCTGATAGTCTGCAAAGCAATCAACCTACTTTAGATGCTAGATACAGAGGAAATACTGAGATTTACATGAATTTATGGAATTTACATGAAAACTTCTGCTTGTTCCTATATCAAATCCTTTCCAGGAAAAGCAGTCAACTGCAACAAAACTCGGTATATGAATACGGTCCCTTTTCCTCCTTCCTCCGAGTACAAACTCCTTTCCACATCAACCTCTGTTTACAGCAGGAAAAACACCCAATCTAATGTCTTTATTACCAACATATAAATATGTTTTCTTGTGTTGAAAGCAACTGAACGATTCATGGAAAGTGCTGAACAGTGAGCTACTACTGAAGGCAGCAAAAGCCAAGAGCTCTTCCACACTGCTGGACTGCGTGTAGACGGCCCAATCGGCGACTCCGTCTCAACAACTCTAAATAAGGAAAAGAACCAATTCCTTTTTCTGGCCAAATGTGCAGCTTAATTACAAATAATCTAGGCCCTGATTATTTGAAAATGCTTTTTCTTTAAAATACACTGACTCTTCCTGCTCGTTCTATGCAGCTTCCCAAGTTGTTGGCCTCCAAGTGCTTTAAAAGCTAAAAATGAAATCACTGTAAATGCAGTTCAAAAATCCCGTAATGTACTCACGGTATTACTGCCAAGGAACATTTACCAAAATGCAATGACTGCTATTATAAACAATGGAAAATAGTGGTGATATAAAAATCTATTCTAAGTTTAACAGAGAGTATTCTTCAAGGTTTAGCAGCTTTAAAAGTCTATTTGGACTCATACCAAGAGAAATGAAAAACAGCAGTATCTTCATGTCAGCATCAAAGCTTATATTTAGAATTTTTTAAATGATAAACCACATGCTGAATTACATACACAACCACAATATTAAGAGTTCATTGCTGAAGCTTTTTCTTTGAGGCTTTTAATTGTTTATTTTAAACAAAGTAAGTTAATCCACGACAGAAGCTAGGGGGAAGAAAAAAAAAATCACAGTAACAGCAGATGATGTATTTGATTTAATACAAGTCATCCACTGCCACCTCCCTCAATTATGTGAATTCTCGATGCAAGCCACAGTCCCTCAATACCAGATAAACCTGTGAAGGCCAACATCAGCAGACTAACAAATACCGATTTGATATATCCTCAGCAATAATTTTATCCAAAACTGTCACTGCAATTTCTACCCAATTCCTAGGACTTGCAAGGAGAGAAAAAAGATATTCAGGATGGGGAATTGAGGATTCTTTGACAACACACTAGATAATTAACAGTTTCTAACCTGTTGAGCTCCCTGATGGCCCGCAGTCTACGTATGTACCGACGGCAGCTGGGCAGAATGGAGAGATGATGGGCATGCAAGGTGAGGAAGAAACATTCCGTTGGGAATTTCGGCTCAGAAAATGAAGACTGATCCCTGTCTAAAAGAGGAGAATAAGTGAAAAACAAAAAAAAAAAAAAAAAAAGAGAGAGAGAGAAAGAAAAAAAGCCGTATAAGTGAAAAAGGTAAGAAATGGCCTGGATTATCTAAGGGGTAAAACCTTGAATTCAGGTTCCCTTGAACAAGCTTTCAAGAGCAGGTAACAAAGGAAAACCTTTTTAAAAAGAGGAAGTATTTGATAGAATGTAATATTTCCTTGTACCTTCAGTATCACCACTCAGAAATAGAAGGCAGCCACAACAGACTCAATGCATATTGCATATGGTACTCACAGAGCTCAGCAATCCAGGCTGCAACATCCTCCATTGTTGCTTTCACTCTTGTCTCATCTGTTGGAAGGTCAATACGACACCTGGGGTGAAAGATGTACGTGGGATCAACCGTTTCCAGCTTTATCTTCGTACTTAGTTGCTGTAGTACCCATAAAAAGTTGAGCATGAAGCCATCAGTAGATACCAAACGATCATCCGTCTGTGGGATAAGGAAGCAAATTGTTGAAGACAATTGCAAGGGCAATTGAAGACAATTGCTGCTGCTTTAACAGTAGTCCACATAAATAAAACAGGCAAGTTCAAGAAAAGGAAGAAGTGAGGAAGAATGTGGATCTCCAAGGAAACCTTCCTGATAACTAGAAAGTCATTTACGGTAATAATGTTTCTGCACAATGCATGTCCAGTCATTTCCAAGAACCTTAAACACATAAAACCAAGAGATACATAAAAAGTAAAAAGGGCTTAAAGAGGTCTCTTTCAAAAACAGTTTTCGCAGATGTAGACAGCCACAAGATAGTTTGAAATAATTGCTGAGGTTCAATTCGCAAGTTTTATTTTATGCTTAAGTGGTCACTATACTTCACTGGAATTTCACAAAAAACTACCACGGAAAGTGGCAGTTCCAATGTTTCCTTTTGAAGCAGGGATTTGAAGACAACAATGCTGCAAACTTCACAGGTTCAGGATCCACGCACACATTTTACCACAGGAAATGAGTCCAATACATTAACCAAACATCTGCAAAATAATAAACCTGTTGCTTCACTGGAACTGGGCCACTTCAAATCTGGATTACTCCTTCTACCATACAAAGCTTAGCAGTTTACCAGATTGGGATGGATTGGAAATGGATTTTTAAATGTTAAAAATGGATTTTAAAAATAGCCAGTTAGAAGGAAACCTCCACAGATGTATTAAAGAAAAGGAGGGCGAGGAAGAAAGCTCAAACTACAGAATCCTTGTTAACCAAGTGGCATGTCAGTTCCAAGAGAGGGAATAACCTAAACTGAACAAGCAGGTACAACAGAATCCTTTCAAAAATAGGAAATGTTTTGAAAGAGATGAAGACTGATCATGTGGTTTCTTGGCTGCTGTGGTAGCCTCTGAGAACTTGGGTCCTCCTTTGCAGAGCCACCATTTCATCAGTCAAAAAAAAGCACCGGAGCCAGCGAAGAGCGTTGCTGCTGTTTCCCTGCATCTGGGCCTTCTTCATGTTGGCATTGACAACAGCTGCCATGTAACTGAGAGCTGCTTCTCGAGTTTCACCGTTCAGTAAAATACTGTGCAGAATTTTGAACAGCTCTTGCTAGAATTTCAAACAAACACAGGTTACATAGACTTCAACACTGCAT